TTGGTAGGTTTTTTTTTTTTTTTGGGTTTTTTTTTTTTTTTTTTTTTTTGCCTTAGGGCATGTGAACTTGCTGGAGAGAGAGAAAGAGACCGTGAGAAAGAAAGTAAGAAATCACCTCCCAGGGGAATGGCCACACCGCAATCCCTTCTCCTCCATTCTCCTGCCATGATTTTAGGCATGTATGCACATGCACCCAGCGTGAGTTTCAAGCCACTGGGTCTGGGACTCAAACCGTGGTTAGATATGTGGGAGCCCAATAACTATATATTTTTAAAGAGATGAATTGGATGTCTCTTGAATATTCCTCACAGTGCTGGCCCTAGAGATACCACCTCTATGATGAATATAAAAACTTCAGCTTCTGCTCTCAGAGGGGTTTACATTTCCATGGAGGCAACGAAGTAGCCCATAAAGAAACAAAGGACTCACTATGCTTATGAAGGAAGCAACAATCTCCTGAGAGATGATATCGGGGAGGGGAGACCTTCAGATAAAACATAGTTATCTCTCAGAAATCAAGGGGAGAGACAGCCTTTACATAAGGGAAGTCTCTGTAAGGAAATGATCTTTAAAGAATGGGGAGGAGAGATCTTTTTCAGATAAAGCAGTTAGAGAAGTAAGGAAGTTAATGCTGAGGAACTCATCACTAAAGGGAGATGTATGAGATTCTTTTGTGTGCTGTGGATCTAGAGAGGAGAACAAGGGGACGATGGGAGGGTGGCATGAGAACATGGATGGAAGCACCCAGGCCAGAATTAGAAAGATCCTGGGCAGGAAAAAATTTAGCCTCCAGAAGTTTCAAGAGAAGAGGTGCTACTGAAGGAGTGAGCAAGTTGGGAGTGTGACAAGATCAGGTCTGGGAGCCTGGCAAAAATTAAGTCAAGCAGGGTCTGTTAGCCACAGTTAAACTTGGACTTTACCCTGCAGTCCATTTGAAGCCTTTGAATGTTTTTTAAGCAGATGACTGACATCATCTAATAAAACCAAGTTTATATGCCCAATGGGGAAGGCAATACAGGAGGAGACGTAAATGGAACAAGGAAACCAAGAGACTTGCAGCAGCTCAGGGAGGAGGTGGAAGTGACCAGTAGTAAGACAGTGGATGGAGAAAGAGAAGGGTGAGGACATTTGAGAAACATCTGGAGTAGTATGAATGGGAGGACGGGAGGAGTGTTGAACGAGGGAGAAAGGAACGATTAAAGAATGTCACCTTGGTTTCCTGTTTGAGTGCACAGCAAGGAGAAAAGCCTAAAGAATAGGGAGGTGGGCAGCAGGATAAGTCTTTATAGGAAAACCATGAAATCAGTTCTCAGCATGTCTCCTTGAGATGCCTGTGAGCCACCTAACTGGTCGTCATGAGCTCTGGGGAGAACTCTGCCTGACAGATAAGGTGCTGCCGAGCAGCACAGAGGACAGATGAGTTCTCCCAGAAGATGCTTCAGAGCTAAGAGGACCAAGCAATGAGCTCTGTGAGGCATTTAAAAGTCAAAAAGAGAAAAAACATAGTGGAAAAACTCAGTCTTCTCAAGAAACTGAAACACAGGAGAAAAAGAAGCAGGATAGAGGCAGACAAAGCCCTAAGTAAAGGCCGTTACCATAACCACTTTATTTGGTTAAATGCTATCACTTCAATTTTTCTGGAAGATGCAGCATTTACAATTGCTTTTTTATCTTTTTGTAAAATTATGAACCAAACTACAACTGAAACATTAACTTTTTAAATAAATTTCAATTTCATTTATTCAGGGTAGTAGCAGCCTAACTCAACCTGACTAGACAAAAGCTGTTATACAAATTGCTGGAACACAAGAATACTGCTTTCTTTACACATCTTAAAACCCACAAATTCAAAACAAAAATGAATTCCTAACCAAACCACGCCCTGTTTAATAAAGCTTTATGCAGTCATATTTGGCTCCAGTAAAATACCAATACTGGCTCTCTCCCATCACAGCAAAATACTCTGGATAGGAAACCAACTTAATTTTCATTCAGTAAGAATCTTTCATAAGGAAAAATGAAAAGGCTATGAGTAAGAGCCCCACCCCCAGTGAGTAGCAGAGCACCTCCTTGTAATCACAATCCCCTTTGCTCTTTTTCTAGAGCAAAGTTGGCTAACCCACCTAAATTACATATGGATAATTATAATATGTAAATTTACTCTTGTAAATGTGTATCATTTGAATATACAATGTTGTTTTCCTTTCAACAAGTCAAAAATTGACCAGTTTAAAAAGAAAAAAAATCAAACCATTTCCTCTCTTCATCTCAATTAAATGATTTTTGTCCCCTTAGTTTGATGGAGGGTGCATGTGCTCATCAGAAAGAGAGAAAACATGCAAGCATTCTCTCAAGGGGCATAGTCATGCCACAATCCCTTCTACTCTATTTCTGCCTTCTTTGGGGATTTTGGGTACACATGAGTGTCCCCCCCTCCTCTCCGTATGTGTTTTTCAAGCCACCCAGTCTGGGTCTCAAACCAAATGGGATCCAGCCAGGCCACGGGTTGAACCAGTGTTTTCGTTTGTTTGTTTGTTTTTTATTGCCAGAGTGCATGCATTCTTTCAGAGAAAGAGAGAAACACCCCCAAATGAAGTGTGGTCATGCCAAAACCTTTTCCCTTTATTTCTCCATTCAGTCAGGATCCTGAATACACATGCGCACAACAGCACAGTGTGTTTCAAGTCACCAGGGCTGGGATTTGAACACTGTCGCCCATGTGGTAGCTAGCTCACTTAACTAGTACATTATGGGGTCAGCCCTGAATTAAGTGATATTTGAGTGCATACTGGAGAAAATAAACATCTCAAACACGTGTGCTTTTCAGGATCTATACCTTGAAAAGTTTTCTTAAGAAAACTGATACAAGCACAGGTACATACTGCACATGTTTAGTGGTGTGGGTCATGCAGGTTCGAGGTCAGGATAGGAGAGCTGGTTCTCAGAATTTACCTAGAAACCTACATGCAAAACTCATTTTTAGACTGCCATCACATAGAACTTCACACAACGTGTTTTTTGGTTTTTGGTTTTTTTCTGGAGAGGTTTTTTTCTACAGGGCACGCACACTCACCAGAGAGACAGAGAGAGAA